CATTTCATTTTGTGCTGTCCTCTGTACTTACAGAGCCTGAGAGGGTTACATAGTGGTTACCAATTGGCTTTGCTATACTTTCTTTTTTTTTTTTTCTGCACTGGATATATGTGTAGCTCCAACAGCCCAGGTACATCTTGGGAAAAGAAACCTCCTCACCATAACTGCTTCTGGTATACCATGACAGTGCTTAGTTGCTAGGTAAAGCATAGATTAAATTTAGCAAATTATTCATCAGGATTCTAGCAAATACTGGGTTACCTTGTTGGCTAAGATGGTAAGGAAAGAATATTTGATGCCTGCTTTTGCCTTGCAATCTTTAGAGTTACAATTGGAGGATCAAAGGAAAGGAATAAGCCCCGCATTCTTTGGCTGATGCTTCAGTTTTTCTTGGCTGAAGAGTCAAAGCCAGCATCTGCACCATTATGCTGGGGTCCATCTGTGTGGTACAGAAAATTAACTTTAACCAAAAGTGATAAGAAGATTACTAAGGAAAGGGCTTGTACTGTTCATCGAAACCCAGTGCTAGGGAAGTGGAGGGACAAACGTTGGGATGACACTTGAATTTTGCTCTCAGTAGGATTTAACATGTGGCACGTAACTTAACCACAGGCTGCCCTGCAAAACAGAATTTCTTGCATGGTACTTCACTCTGAGCTTCATTAAAAGCAAATAGTTGTGCACAGGCTGCTACTTTAAACTGCCCACTGCCTGGTTAGGTGATGTTGGTAAGTGCCTCTAAGAGCAAAGAACAACTTGGAAACCAGTTGGAACCCAGACACGGCATGATGGGTGTGAACTGAGGCTGAGGGATGCTATGGAAATCCAGATGGCCTGCTGTGTTGTTCAGCTTCATGTGACATTCTGGGCTTCTCCTGGGCTGGTGCTGTTACTTGTGGGTGATCTACATGGCCAGATTCTAGCTGCAGGCATTAATTACATCCTGCTGGGAATCTGTACATCAGAGAACATCAGAGCAGAGGCACTGATGTTTTATCCAGAAATGGCAATTGCCAGGACAAGAATAAATAAAGCTTGGAGCCTGGACTGAACCCAAGTGGCAGGGAATTCCTGGCTACTTCCAGAGAGATGCATCCGTAACTTAGAGAAAATATGCAGAATGACTCTGATATTTATAACAAGCTAACACTTGTAATTCCAACAAAAGTCAACAGCAGTTGTAAACATTTGATGTAGGAGGAAATTGTACTTGTGAGGCTGGGAAGGAAATGCCTTGAAACTAAGGAGTACAATACTTAAAAACTCTGCCATAAAAGTAAAAGCATACCAATGCTGTTAGACTGATGAATTTCACCTTAAAGTTATTACAGTAAACAGTTTGGCCAGAAGATGTATTGATTTCATCTTCCTTACAGTCTGTGAACTTACTCCATGGCATATTGTGAAGCATGCAAGTATTGTACTTGAACTGCAGAAGAATTTATTTGAGACTTCTGCTGCATAACAAAAAATCATATAGGGACAACTCGAATTCTCTATTAAAAATTTAACATATAAGCAATGTTTTTGTATTCTACTAGTATGTTTAAATCTGTAACTAATCCACTTAGAGAATTTCTATAAATGAAGCTTCCTGCTTGCAATTGCTTTTCAAAGTTGTAGTGGTTGTGGTTTTTATTTTGACACACCGACAATAAGCAAATCTTATATCCTAACGTAGCAGTCACTGTGAGCAAAGACAAGAGAGGGGCAGCACCATTCGTTCCTAAGATGCATACGTTAAGTTTTTACAAGATTGGTGACTTTCAAGATCTCGCAGCTGAAGGCATCTGGATGCCACATTTAGGTAAAATATAAAAATAATCATAAGTAATAACCGCCAACAAAACTGTTCTCTGCCCACAAGTGCAGTATTAATCAAAGGCAATCTTCATTAAACTAAGTAGAGTCACTTTCTTTCATACTATTTCTTTGTATAATGTAAGCACACAAATTCATCGGGGGTAGTATTTCTGTTTGACTTCCAAGCAGAAGCCAACATTTCTCTTTTGTACAGTGATTGGTGGGTGACTGAAATCAGGTCATGCACTGTCAGAACACTGTGCATAATGGGATGAGCCTATTAAAATATCCAGTCATGACCTAACGCTCACCTAAATAAAATGTAACTTAAGTGATAGCATAGCAACAGCAGCTTCCGCACAAAAGGAGAAGCTTCAAATACTCTCACAATCTCTGGTAAGTCATTTTCAGGTGTATTTTTGGGAAGGAAGGGGGGGAAGGGTTAATCATGAAATATGAAAGCATGAAAATACAGAGGCAGCAGGCAGGGTCTGTAACAGGAGCTGAACTCTTTCAGACTTTTTACTCGTGGTCAGTGATAACTGAAAGTCTCTTGTCTTTGAAGATAATCACCAACTACTTGCTGTCATACATTCTTACAGAGTAGGAAACAGGCAAACAGCTATTATAACAGTATCACTCAAATTTGGTTTGTGGAACTTCTGGGACCACGTATGAATACCATCTGGAGATACAGTGTCACTGGATAAGAATGTAGTACTTACCCAGAGCTCATTTAAGTCAGAGGACTACAGAACATTCAGTATCTTGCCCTTAATGAGGTACTAAACAGATTTGCAGTACCAAAACACAAATAAAGACTTAGTCTGTTTTGACCAAGGGAGAAAAGCAGAGATGCTGCTTCTAATACAATTTAGCACAATGTGGGTACACACGTTTCAAATAATGATCCAGATTTTTACTTCTTAGCTGTTACCCAGCTATGCAGGAAGTTCAGCTCTGAAAGCATCTGGGTGGAACTTTACAACTTCCTGTTTGCATACAGCTGTGCTTCAAAGGGTGCAGCCACAGCAGCCCAAAGTTCAGCTCCTGTCTGTGGCCAGTGAGTTCAGCCTAAATTTCACTGTCTTCATCCTGGTCTACAGTCCTACCTCAACTCAGGTCAAATGACTTATTCATCCCTTCACTAGACCACAAGGAACACTTTGCTGTCTCACAGCCTGCCTTGTACAGGCCTCATGCTAGGTTTTGTTGTCTGTTTTGCTTTATTATTATTGTTATTATCTGAAAGGCAGCTGCACAAAGAAATAATGGTGAAAATGGTATTCCATAGATCATGTTTGTAGTATGTGGGAAGCCCTGGTTAATCTTTCTTGCCAGTTTGAAGAAGCACATGATGGTAGTATGTTTTAATAACTAGGCTACTGTAAAGAAAATGATGAAGGATAAAGACTGAGAGATGTACTCTTTGAAAGAACTGAACAGAATTAGGAAGGCTGGTGTTCAAGGCTCGCACCTGAATACAAACGTTCTGCTTCTGTACATTATGTGTGTTCCTGCACATTATATGTTTACTTCTTATAAACTGGAACATACAACCCCCTTCTTGTTTTTGTCTTGTTTTCACAAATGAAATTTCTTTCCTGTATAAGTAGCCATTTCAACAGGAAATGGAGAGAAGGAATGCTGTCCAGCATATCTTTGATGCTCATTATCAGGAAAGTATCATGGGAGGTAGGTCAAACATTCTCATGCAAGCAGAAAACCAAGAGATCTTCCTGCACCCTGGATAAATGTAGCACAGATGTGTAAGACAGTTATCTGGTTGTTCTTCCTCAAACACAGCATGTAAATACTTATCTTCAGGAAAGTGTGGCTGTTGAATCATGAGGATGGTGGGTCCTGCAGCCCTGAGACAGCTGACTTTATGCAGAACTTTATTTACTTTTCTGTATCATTTTAGGGAGCTCATGGGATTTTTATTACTCTTTTTATATATATATATATATGGAATTTGCTTTTTCTTAGATCTCAGACTGTATTTTTTATTCTTACTACACCTTAGCAATAAGCATTATGGCAGATTGGCTTGGAGTAAAATGGGTCGCTGTTCCTGAATTTGTCAAATGTAAACACTTCAAGTGTGTTTTGTCTGCTTACTGTAATAACGATTTTTAGGTCAACCTGAATGAGAAAGAGGATGTTTTCCAAAAGTGGAGCATGTGGAACTATTAAACCAAGGTAAGTGTAGTTCTTATCTGAGGCATTTACTTTGCCTATAACATACTGTATAACAACCTGACAAAAACTCTGCAAGGCAAAGAATTAAAATATGCGAACTGGAGAGAATAGGAAAAATAAAAGAGGAACCCACAAATGAGTTCAATCCCAGTCTAATTTCTTTCCCAGCTATCAAGGAAGAAGAGAGGATTTGTATTTGTGGTGTTCTTGCTCAGGGATTTTCCAAGCAGCAGAAGGGACCTTGTAGGATCTGCATCTGTTTGTCTCTTTCTGAAAGGCAAAAGCTTTAAAAAAAATCTTCCTAAAATCACTGTTTGGTAATTCAGAATGGATGAGCCTTGGCCAAAGTGCTGGAGCTGTCAGATTGAGGACGGCAGTTCGCAGCCTCCTGTAACTGAAAGCAAAAATCCTTAGGCTGTCGGCTTAAAAAAAGTAAAAGGACAGACTTGATCTGAGGTTGGCAGCTGGTAGCTGGAGTGAGAGTGCTCTCCTTAGCCGTGATGGTTTAAAGGGAACTTGTTTTAGCAGGGAACAGGACTTGACTTCCCTGCAGTCTCTTCCAGCCCCTATGATGCTGTGATTCTCTTAAATATACGTAGGGTGGCCAAGTTTTGCAGAGAGGGCTTTCCTTTCCCCAAGGAGTGCCCATGGTGCCACTGCAAGCATAAGGCCTGTCCCCATTTCTGCAGAAGCAGTAAGCTATGAACCAAGGGCAGACTGGGAACAGCACTCTGAGCACACTGCCGCTTTCATACTTTCACTCACAGGTCATCAATCCTATAAAAGTACACAGAGCAAGCACAAGCCGTGTAGACGCAACCGCTGTGCGCCCTGCAAGTACGGGATGTGCTACACGTACCGAACCACCACTTGTTTTCCACAATTTGGGAAAACACTGCGCTTCACTTTGACAGCACACTTAATTATTTTCCTCACAGAGCACCGCGCGTCCAGCAGCTCAGCAAATTTACTTGAGAACGTTTGATTCTACTTACTTCGATGTAAGTAATCGGTCGTCTCGCTGCCAAGAAGCCTTGAAATTAATTGAGTGCAAGGGCTGTGCGCGGGACTGGAAGGGAGGCCCCGACCATCTGGAAGAGCGCTGTCATTAAGCCTCCGGCTCCGCTCGCCGCTGAGCCGCTGCGGCAGGAGAGGCAGCGGCCGGCGCCAGCCCTCCCCGAGGTGCGACGGGGCACGGCGGGAACGGACGAGGTGAGGCGGCGGAGGTCGCCCAGGCCTGCCGAGCGGCGGGCGCGGGGCCGGGCTCGGCTTGCTGAGGAAATGTCCCTTTAAACATAACTCCGGAGTTAACTTCCGCGAGCTTCGCACCCACCTGCCGCTCGTCACGGCACCGCGACGGATTCGCGTTTTCTGTGCCGTGGCACGCGGGCGGAGAGGCGCCGCAGAAACGCTGCCGCAGAAATGCCGCCGCGGAGCCGCCCGCTGTCGCGCCGCGGGTGCCCTCCTGTCACGGCGGGGGCCGGGCCGGGCTCCCGCCGCTCTCCGCCCCCGCCGCCTGTTGCTATTTTTACCGCCGAGCCCCGCCGCGGAAGGAGGCGGCGAGCGGCAGCCGCGGGGCGCGAGGCACGGCCTGGCCCGCCGCAGGTACGGGCGGACGCTCTCCGCTCCGCCGCCCCGCGCCCGTTAGCGGCTCCCGACCCCTCGCCTCCTCTTTCTCTCTCTCCCTTCGGCGGGAGCGGGCGGGCGCAGCTGAGCGGCGGGACTTCTCGCGGCGAGCGCGGCACCGGTAAGGGCGGCCCCGGGGCGGCGGGGCCCGGCGCGGGACGGGGGCGGTGGAGGAGCGGCGTTGGGCTGAGCCGGGCCGCTGCTAGCGGGGGCGGGAGGAGGAAGAGCGGCTGTCAGCGCTGAGGAAGTGGAGGAGTTGAGGCGGCCGTGCATCCCGCCCGAGGAGCGGTGCCGCGCTGCGGGCTGAATGCGCGTCGGCCGTCCCGCGCCGCGCAGCTCGGCTTTCCCTGCGCAGGGGAGCGGGAGTTTCGCTTCAACGCCCCGCCGCACCCACACGCTGCTTTTCTGGCCCTTTAAATTCGCGCTTGCCATTAACGAGGGAACGAGCTCGTGAAAAGCGTGCTCGGGGGGGACTGAGAGGCGGTTATTTATAGCGCGGAGTGAGGAGGGCGCGTGTGCTGCGCTGCGCGGGGTCGGCGGCACTGCGGGACCGGGCGGGGCTGAGCCCGAGGTCCGCGCTTAAGACGTGCACCTCGGCCGCTGGACGGGACGGGCCTTCACCTTCCTGAAAGGCGTAGGTTATAGGTGAAAATAGAGATGCCTGCAGGTGAGAGAAGTGCCAGGTTGGAAGGAATGCGGGACAGAATGAGACAAGTTGGCACTTTGCTCGCTTTGCAATTCGTTTAACTGATGAGTTGGATGCGGGCATTTTGGCTGTGGGTGTGCGATCGGACAAAGTGGAATGGCACTGGGGGTGTGTGGCTAACAGAGCTAGCAAGCTCTGTTAACAGGTTCCTTCGTTAGGAACACCTGCTGCCTCGGTTGGGTGAGTGCAAGGCTGGCTCAGCAGTATCCCAGTTCTGATCTCAGTCATCAGAACATTGTTTCTATACATTGTTATTAGCAACACCTGTGAAGGGAAGGAACAGAAAGCTCTTGTCTGCATTTGATACTTAATTACAAACTTGTATGCTTAGGAGTGTTTAACATTTCACTTGACTCTTTCTTTATTATTTATCTGTTTAATTATTTATAACCCATTTGGGAAGTAAAGTAACTGCTGGCTCTGTAGGCAAGTATCTTGGATGCAGCGTTTACCATGAAGCCAATTGATTTTCTCAGCATGTATGGTAAAATGTTATTCATGGCCTTAACCAAAGCTGCTAAAGGAATTGAAAGAACTCCTTTAGAAGTCACATTTATGTGAAAAAAGAATGGAAATTACCAGTAAATTCTGAGGCAGATTGACTTCTGGGTTTGCACACGGTGTTGCCCACTGCGCAAAGTTCCAGAAGGAAGCAGCAGATAAAATAATCTTGTGAAAGAAGAGTATTTTATGATTCCAATTGTCAGTTTGGTTTAAATGAGAGCTGTTTGAAAACAGAGAGCACTGTGGTATTCTATCTGGCCTGTTTCCTGTGAAGCAAGGCTGCTCAGGAGTGTTGTCTGAAGCTGGAAGATGATGAGGCCTGCAGCTAGCCATCCCACAGAGCGATTTAAGGGATGCTGTACTGTGACACTGGAGAAGAGTTTCTTTTTGTGCTCATTGATGAAACCAGAGAAGGACCTCTTCTCGGCAGTGACCATATCAAGATGTACCCAATATATATTCTCATTTGTATTTTCCTGCCTTTCCTGCTAGGGGGATAGAGAAATCTGTCAGTGTGAGGGAAGCCAATGTAAATCTCGGTCAGGGATCAGACGGAGGGAGAAGAGTGGTATTTTGCTCTGGCTTGCTTTCCAGTGTTCTGGCTGCAGGCCAGGACTCCTCATAATCCCCGACTAGGATGATATTTCTGCTAAAATAATCAGTGGTGAAGTGCAGGCAGTACCAGTGCCTTTGGCTCCATTTGTCGGTCATGTTCAGCTCTAATGCTGTGCAGGGAAGAGCTGAACTAATCTGTGTTCTTTCGGACCAGCTGTTCTTCACAAGACCTTGCTCTGTAGTTGGAAGTGCTTCTTGGCTTCTTCAAGGGGAAAAAGGGAATAGGCTCATGGAAAGAAGCAATGCTGTCAGCAACTTGGTGTGTAGTAACTGCACAATTGTCTCTTGGATGAACCCCGAAGTTGGGGAAGCTGGGTCTTGCAGCTCAACGGCTCACAGACCACACTCCTCATTTAATCACTGGTGTGCACATGTCCTGCCTGCTGCCTTGCCCAACATGCCTTGTGACTCACTGGTGCTGCTGTGGGTCCTGGTACTCCAGATGCCCTTAGGGGGGGGAGGGAGAAGAAAGTGGTGGAAAGCAAAGGATGGCTCTGATCAGCAGTTATGTGTGCGCTGACTGAGTCTGAAACTTCTGGCTGTGTCTTTGTATTGAATTTATTCTAGTCCAGAAGAAACAGGGGATGAAGGATAGCTCCTCACCACTGTAGCAGTTACTGCTTTTCTTGATTTGTGTGTGTCCTCTTGGTTTATGACTGTCTCTGTGCCCTTTTTGCCTTGTTTTCTGTAGTAGCCTGACTCCATCTCAAAGCTGCCTATATATATATATATATGGATTGTTTTTTCTTTAAGCGCTGTGTCAGATTTTCTAGTACAGTCCTATCAGCATTGTGTCAGATGCTGTCTGAGCCTGCTTCTTGCTTGTGAGAAGCAGTTAGGTTGATAGCATTGAAGGAAAAGCTGAGGACATAGAGCACATCTATGTCCCCCTGTGTATCTTTCTTGTTAGTGGATAAGTCCAGCGGCTCCTAGTTTGTGTGGTGTGGTTTGATTTGCTAGCATGGCTTTGCAGGGTTTGTTAGAGAGAAGAATTCAGTGATACCTGACTTGTGACAGTTTAAAATTACTGCTGAGGCAGGTGATTCTAGATCATAGAATCAGAATCACAAGGTTGGAAAGATCATCTAGTCCAACCGTCCTTCCATTACCGTTGCTACCACAAGCTACTAGATCCAACATGCAATATATAAAATGTTTCATTATTCTACTGCTTTTGTTTCTATTAATGTACTGCAATGTCAATGTCTCTTATTCAGGGACATTACAGTTAAAGGGTCTGAATGGTAAACTCTTCCAACAAATGTGGAGGCCATCCAATATTCATTGTGTTGTGCTACACTTTGCCTGATCAGATTTCATGCTGCTGGAGCACCTACAGCTGTACCACAGCAGGTTCAGTACTGACAACATTAAAGTACAATTTGGAAACTATTAAGACTTCTCAGAGTTGGCTGGGGAGTACTAATCAAGCTGATGCCATGTGCTTCTTAGCAGTGAGTGTAAGGGGCAGAAGAGCTGCTGAACTTCAAGAGATGGTGATGGAAAGGAGCAAGAGGAACCATCCCAGCAAGCATTGGGAGGAGAGCTGAAGGGATAGAGAGCCTTGCAGAGCTCTTTCAGCTGCATGAAAGTGGCTGGTGAAATAAGCTTTGAAGAAGCTATTTGTGAGTTAATCACTCAAACACTTTAGAGGAAAATGTGATCTATGTGAGTCGTCTTTACTGGTACAGGTAGTGAAGGCACCTGCAGAGCCAAGTTTTGGAAGGGAGTTGGGTTGAAGCAGCCAGAGGAGGATGAAATTGCTGCAGTGATGAGTAGCAGAGCCAAGGGCAAACAGAGACTGGCCCAATGCACTCTTCACTCATAATGTGTGCTTTGTTTTTTGGCTAGCAATAGGCCTGCTAAGCTGAACAGAACTATAGGTCTAAGTTAAGCACATACACAAATACTCAAGTCCTTGCTGTAAACTGAAAGGATGGTACAGAAGCTAATGTGCAATTAGTATGATTTTCTTGGTGGGACTGGCATGTAAGTTAAGATGTCAGTAGGAGGAAATAAGGTGTAAATGACTGGGAAAAAGCAGATGGCATATGCAGGACATTAACGTATAGAAGGCTTTGGGTTAGATATAGAGAACTCTTGATCCTGAATTTGTCCTCTGAGAAGCTGCACTTCTAGCCTCTCAGTGTTAGAAAATACAACCTTCTAACATCCAGTTAATTGTTTTGATTTTAGTATGAATTGTTTTTCTTTAAAAATAACAAATGCAGAGACTGGAGTATTTATGTTGTCAACTTTGCGAGATCTTTATTTTCTTTAAGAAGAGATGAATGCTGGGAAGCTTTGCATTTATCTTAAATACTTTCCAACAGTACAGTGTTTATTTAAGTATGACAGAATATTGACTTTTTAAAAAAGAAAAAGAAAACATGTTCAGTCCTTACAGTTGGCACTCAAAATGATGTATTATGTTGTGATCTTTATTCCTTTTTGAAGCTGCAGTGCCTCATAGGTCTGGATAAAAAAGCGTGGTAGTATTCCAATGAAACTTTTCTTCCTTGAAAAGTTGACTTAAATGAAGATGACTTTGTGTTTTTAAGTGCATAGCTTTTTCTTTTTTTCTCTCTCTTTTTTTTTTTTTTTTTTTTTTTCAATTAATTGCATTGAGAAATATAGTTACAAATAGGATGTGGTTGATGGGTCATCATTTGTTCAGCAGTTTGCTGCTCCTGTTTGCAAGTGAGAATGGAGCTTTCTTTGGCTTTGCAATCCTCAGATTATTGTGTATGTCACTAAATAATGAGAACGCTAAAAATCTGTCAACTCAATTTTCATGTGTTCTGGATTACACATGATTATAGTCAGGAATGAATCCAGTCTTCCCTGCAAGCTGCTGAACTGTATTTCCTTGTTACAGTTAAGGAGAATGCACTTGTAATAGAGTGTCAAAGAGGAAGTGAAGTTTCTTTGGTTCCTGGCATGCAAAATTATAGCAATAACTGTATTTAGTAGTTACACAGATAAGGTGTAAAAATGATTATTGAAGCAGCTATCCTGTGCATTATATCTTATCATATTACATCTTATGAAAGGTGATTATTTGCTTGCTTGTCAGATAACCACACATGCACCCACCCTCCCTGAAGCTTATAAGAAACCTTTCTTTAAAGAACTACTCAACGTGTTTAGAATGCTAGTAATGATGTTTGCTACAGACACTGTCTTTAAGTACTGGCATGGTTGGGTCTTCCTGCTGAATTTGGCATCCTTGTGACTGCTAGTGCTGTCACACAGTTCATCTGTCGGAAGATGCAAAAGTTCCAAAGAAGCAAAACTATCCAAACACGTGGGTGTTTGCTGCAGGTCTCTTGGTTTTACAGTTTGCCAGTTACTGCAGAACCATTTTATCACGTTTGGATATTTGCAAGATAGTTACATTATAAGTATACACTTAGTTGAAAATGAATTCTTATCTTGAAATTCTCTTCAATTTATTTATTTTCAAATCCTAAAATGTGTTTTGTTTTCAAACTGAGTTTTTGTGAGTGTTTCACATTGTTGAAAATAAAACATTTTTGCAAGGACAAATAAAGGGCCAAGTTTAATGAAAACTAATGAGAAAAATGTTGCTATTTTTGATCATCTTTGTAGATGAGCAGAGACCAAAAATAGTGTTGCCACAGTAAACAGATACCATTTATTATTACTTGTTCAAATATGATGATGAGATATTTTGTCAGGAGTTCATGGGACTGCTTGTGTTGTTTTTAATAGGTCTTCTTGGGCTGAGGGTAAGCTCGTGTCATGGTATTTAGATGTGGGCAATTATAGGCCTGTCAGCTTCTCATCAGTCTCACGCAGAATAATGCAACAGCTGAAACCAGATTCAATTAATGAAGAGTTAAAACACTGTGATACAACAGATACCAAGCTATGTGTTTTCATGGACTGTATTTTGTAGAACTGCATTGGTAGATAAATGCTATCACTGAATTTTGCTGCTAAAATGATCAGTGTGTAATATTCATACTTGCTGAGTGTAACTGGGTTATAATAGGGTTATGTGTAACTTGGTTCTGCTTGATATTTTAAGAAATGAAAATGATACAAAAGCAATGTGGCAGACATTAAGTATTTCTGGCCAGCCAACAAGCCCTTAAAATGCAGTCATGAATTGTGAATCATCCTCTGGTTGTGTGGTGTTTTTTGGTTGTTGTTGTTTTAGTGGGATCTTGTAAGGGTTGTTGCTTGTCCATGCTGGGTTTATCTGTAATGGGTCAGTTGAGTGCTGTTAGGTTTTTCAGATGATTTTTTGTGTGTGTTAATTAAAGAAAAAGGTCTGTTTTGTCCCAGTACATGACCACTTGGCAAACTGTACTCAAGTGAACAACTCCACGTAAGGGGCCAAATTCAAACTCATACACCTGTGAACAAGAAAAATAACCTTTTATTTTAATGCTTTTGAATGTGAAAGTGTCCCAGCAAACACTGACTTCAAATGATGTGAAGGTTATAATGTAATCTGAGTTCTTTCTGTGATAATAGGATTGAAATAGGCTGATGTGATCCATGTCAGCCTGTCCATGGAGCAGAAGCAGGCTAGAGAGAAGGTGCATTCTTGAGTTTAGTTACTCGTTAGATAGTTTAACAGGAGTTACAAGAACAAGTTTTTTAATCAGGACTGATGTTTTTCCAAGCAATATATAAAGTACTATTGTGTTTGTTAGACCTGAAACTGTAAAGTCCAGGGTACAGAAAGTGTGCTATGTAGGTCATGGTGAATGATTGGTGTGTCTTTTCTGGTGTTAATCTATTAAACATTTCTGTTACTAATGGTTTAGTTTTTAATAGGGTTGCAGCACCAACATAACTTTCTCTTTTCCTTTCAGATTTCTGCTGCTCCTAAATTAAAGGAACCATCCAAATATTGCCATTCCATGGAACTGACATACTGGTGAATTAGTTGTGGTTACCTAAAGGATTGTAAAATGGAGCCAATAACATTCAAAGCTAAGAAATATCAAGCACCTAGTGATTTCTCAGCAAGCTTCACCCTTCAGCTTGTCGGTTCCCTGCCTGTGCATTCCCTGACCACTACGTCCATGCTGCCTTGGATTGTGGCGGAGATCCGCGCTCTCAGTAGTATGAAGTCTTCCAAAGAAGAACTTGGTATCAGCCAAATCCGGCTTTATGTTTCACCATCGAGTTTGCGATGTGAACCAGACACGGGGAAAATCCAGCAGTGGGATCCTTTGATTTGTTCTGGTCTGTTTGAATACAAGCCACAGCATGTTCACAAACTGATTCACAACAGCCATGATCCAAGCTACATTGCTTGCCTGATAAAAGATGGAACAGAAAATCAGCAAAGTATCTGCTATGTATTCAAAGCTGATGATCAAACAAAAGTAAGTAAAAAACGAAAAAAAACCAAAACAAAACCAACACCAAACATGCCAAATCAAGTTATGTTCAGAATCACGTTTAAGAATTGGTTCTTGTTCTATTATCAAGGGCCTTATAGAAAAAATGTAGATATGGAGGAGAAGTTGACTCTCTACTTCTAAAATACATTTGCTTTCATACTGTTTGAAACTTCCCACCATACTGTAAGACCTTTAGGTTGCATTTATAATTAAAGACTTCATCTCTCTAAAACTCACAGATATGATTCACTTTATTTGATGTTAATGGTTCTGCTGAATTAGAACTGCTTCGTATGTGAAGTGAAAGGTGTGTAAATTTACAGGATCAGAACCTGAATTTTGTTGGCTTAGAAGGCATTCTACTTTGGGATATGTGCTGAAATCTTGGCCTCTGTGTCAGTGAGAGTTTTTCTGCTGATGTCATTGGGGCTAGAGTTTCACCCTTGAGCCATTGTGAACTTTATCTAATCTTATGTTCAGACCTCTCAAATTTCTATTTTCATAACATGAGACCTATGTGGCTGGGAAAGAGGCACTTCCTTTCCTGGAAGATGTAAGGAATGGGCCACAGCCCAGTACACAGCATACCTTAAACTGCAGGACACTGTAGAAGCCTCTTCCCCAGCTCTATTATCCGTGTAGTGTCAGAAAACAGAAGAGAGGCCACTGCACATTGCTGCAGGTCTGAAACATGGGCTTGCTGCTGCACGCTGCAAGATGGGAGTTGTGTGCGAGTCTCATGCTGTGGGTGAAACTTGCCTTAGTCTGCATGCAAATTGATCAATCCCTTGCTGAAAAGGCTGCAGCATTAAAAACAGATGATTGCTGCTGTTTCTGTTTGAGAGTAACGTGAAATAGTAACTCTCAGAATTAGTAAGATTGACATAAGGCTATTGTGATAGGTTGATCTATTACAGACAAATTAGTGACGTCCTTCACCTCTTAAGGATAAACCAGTGCTTATGTTGGAGAACAGCATCCTGCTACATGCTTGCTTCAGAGATGTCCTGCTGACGAATGTTGGAGTTATGTGAACGTATACTGCATGTAGTGCCAACCTATCCAAGAGCAAAACATTACACAGTTCCAAGTACGTGTCTCAGGCTTAGAGGTCAAAACATACAGAAAGAGCTTTAGTTAAATCCCTCTAGAAAAAAAAATAAACAGTTCCAGTGAATTAGAAGGAAAGTATGTCGTAAATCATAATCATTCGACTGAGAAGCCATGTCAAGTTAGAATGTAGAATACCAAATGCATGTATATAAGCAAGTAGAAATAAGGAATAGATCTTTCAGGACTTGATACTGAATGGAAGCCTGTCAAGGCATTTTGCAGTTTGCCCATGTACTTCATTTTGTGACTTGTGGTTTTGCAGGATTATGGTTAGTTTGCAACACCAATCGCTTCCAGTACATTTCCTTTTGCAACAAAGGAATGAAAAAAGTACTTTTTTCCTGAAGTTTGATCAAAGTCCTGGACCTGCTTGAAATTAAAGTGAACATAGTAAATGTCTAGTTAAATTTGCAACTGTGTCTACTTGGTTTTGGAAACAACTTCCACAATTTCTGGATACCTACTTTAACTACCTAGCTCCAAATTCACATAGCTGTCCGTCCTTTAAAAAAACTACCTTCTACCTCAAATAAAAATTCAGTTCTCATTTCCTAACTTGTATTGATCTCCAAGAAGTGTTTTTGTTGACTATTGTTGCAAGCTAGGTTACTCACTTGGAGGTAGGCACCTAACTGGCATTTGTAGACCTATATTTTGACAAGAAGATCGTGGAAATGCCAAGTGTTCTTACCTCCAAAAGTGAAACCCTGCTTAATGGAGATTCAGTGTAATTTCTGATGAATCCAGCATTATGCAGGTTCCTTATACTCTGTGGGATGTTGTTATTCTGCCCTGAGCGTTGCCATATAATGTCTTGTAGCTAATTGATGTTTTGCATTTATGAAGAGGTGTGAGCTGACGTTACCTGTTTAGCAGGTAGCCGGCTTGAAAGGACAACAGTGTACTGTATGCATGTGCAGCAGATTGAGGGAGCTGTTACATGTGAGTTGGGATGAAGACTTTAGCACTGTGTTGCTGAGCTCATATTTTGCTTCAGAAGAAAGAAATTTTATAAATTGGACCTTTGCAGCCTGTGTGACTCAGCAGACTCCTATGCTGGCAGCCTTGCTTCTGAGTTCTCTTAACATTCCCTCTAGACTAAGAAGACTAAGTCTGCATCTTATAGACTTAGTCTGCATTGTCAGGGTCATATTCCTCTTGGAGTCCAGGGTGAACAGAAATGCTGAATATATATTCTTTGTCTCTCCTACAGAGCTGAAGCAGTGGGCCAGATAGGTTTGGTCACAGAATTTGTGTGTTGATAACAACTTATTATCCAGTGATCCTGAACATCTGAACTTTTGTGATAATCACGCTCTATTTCTACAAACCAGCAGGGTACTCCTTATAACACTGTAAACTCCAAAAGCCGCAGCTCTTTGTAGTAGGGCTGTATTGTATGTGCAGACTGGATTTAAAGTAGATGTGGCTTACAAATAAGTTCTGAGTATATCCACACATCAGGATAAGTTGAACATGAGAGAGCAGAAGGGTGTCTGTAGGAGAAGTGGACTAAGAAGATGAAAATGAACACAGTTGAGTGAAAGATTAAGCAGTGAAGGTCTTTTAAGAGGAGGACTAGAAACTTGAACTTTATTTAAACAGAAATTCCTCTGAAGGTGATATTATGTGCAGAAAACTAGGAATGGTTGCCCATTTAACATGGGCATTGCATATGGCCTGTAGTTGTGTTATTTTATATATACATATTGAGGTGGAATACATACTTGATTAGTGAGAGATTATCTTACTATATAATAGGAAAACATTTTGTTAGTGGGAGATTATTTTTTGCTGAGTAATATATTTCTAAAATCCAGAATTGCTGGAGCTGTGGGAACGTATGTAATGATTTTCCTGGATATGAATGCAGTGCTGTCAGATTCATTGTTGCTCCACTACCTACATGCCATTCTCTTTAGAAAATACATTGGTAGGCAAGTAATTAATACTTAAGAAAGACAGGATTCTTTGCTAGGAATTCTTTGTGCTACTTCTCTTGAGAAGTGAGAGAGTAGGCAGTGCCCTATTGGATAATTTGTCTTCACTCTAGGATCCTTTATAATTGTTTCCATTGCATCATCATGGCATTATACAGCTCATTTTCTGGGCAGATACAGCAGTGAGAAGAGGTGTTCCCAGCAAACTGTTACTTGGCACTTTGCTTGTGCACAAGCATATGCGTATAGGGATCATTCCACTCAGAACTAAACGGAAGGGTTTTACTGCCTCTAGAGAGCTGCTTTTAAGAATTAGGGTTCCCTTTTCTAAGCAGATCTATGTTTATGGGATCTGGACTCTTCCTTGTATAGTTTCAGAAAGTGTTTTTTTGTGTGGGTGGGTTTTGTGCTTTTTTTTTTTTTAACATGCACACCCTCATCTTGTGAAGATTCGGAGGGACTTCATGATTAAGTAATTTCTGCCTGATGACAGGGCTAAAGTGTTAATGTATATTCTTTGCAGGTGCTCAGGAATAGAGCTGGAATCAATTGTATTGCCTGTGGGGAACTTGTGAAGGCTATGAATAGGTCACAGGTGGGGATTATGCATGCTGTGTTGAGTAATGGTGATAGAAGCTGAAGAAAAACTACTTCTCCAGTAAATACATGCTTGTAGAATAGTACCTTAATGCATTGTTGTTGAACACAACAACATCCACAACTTCCTTGGGCAACCTGTTCCAGTGTGAAAAACTTCCTCCTAATATCTAACCTAAACCTCCCCTGTCTCAGTTTAAACGATTCCCCTTTGTCCTATCGCTACCCACCCTTGTAAACAGCCACTCCCCCTCCGGTTTATATGCTCCCTTCAAGTACTGGAAGGCCGCAATGAGGTCTCCCCCGGAGCATTCTTTTCCAACCTTAACAAACCCAGTTCCCTTAAGCTTTCCTCATAGCAGAGATGCTCCAGCTCTCTGATCATCTTAGTGGCCCTCCTCTGGACCCGTTCCAAGAGCTCCACGTCCTTGTCTCTCTCTGCGTTATGAACTGAGGCTTAGAGGGGAAAGTCTAGAAACTTCAGCCTCACGTCTTGTAAGGACGAGTATTTCTGTAAGAATATCAATGATTGATAACTAGAGAATGAAAATATATAAAACATCTGTTTCAGATTTTTGAAAAGGTTAAGCTTCATTCTCCCTCGCTCTTTCTACAGTCAGCATGCAAGTTGTCATAACAGCCTGCAATATATACTTGTGTTTACCAGAACTGTTAATGCTATAGTTGGAGAGCACTGGATAAAGCTGTTCCATTATATAGAGAAATTCTGCTTGTGACTTAAGATCACAGATGCATAAGATGTGCGTATCTGCTTGCTTCTTCTAAATCTTCATTTTGCAGTGTCATAAAAACAAAGGAGAACTTCTGGCTCAGGAACTGGGCTTCTGTCAGCTGCAGGAGTGTTGCCATGAGGGTGACAGTGCCTGTGTGGGTGCAGCAGATGAGGGATCTCACTCGAGCCCAAAGCCTGCTCTAAAAGTTGGTGGCACCGTTTGTGTGGATTTTTCTTGTACCACATCTATCCTGTCACAGAGATGAGCTCCATCTCCTTATACTACTGTGCTTGTTAAAATGCTTGTCCTGCTGTTGAGCTACTTGGTCACAACAGTAATCTCCACTTTTGTCAGAGATTCTTTTTGTGTTTGTGTGTGTGCACCAATTGCTTTAATAGCTACTACTTCTTAAACAACCTTCACCTACTTCTATGAGTTACAATAGCTTATGTGCTTAAGTAGATTAGGTTGTATTACCTGGAATGCTGTGTGCTTTGTTACATGTTGTTTGTGAGCTGATTATGTTCTGGAGAAGCTGGTTTTGGATAATCAAGACTTAGCGTGCTGTGAGGCTGCACAGAGCTGAAGTTGTGAGTGA